GTGAAGGTTGGGTTAAAAGGGCCTAAATAGATAAATATGGCTTTAAAGTTCAAAACCAGGCTTTAAAGTTCAAAACCAGCACCTTGAATGTGGCTTTGGAGCTAACAGGGAACCAGTGCAGTTGACAAGCAATTTTTCAAATCGACTCTGACCTTACCAATGCAATTGGCAAATTTGTTGCTATAGTCAGGGCCAGATTAAAGATTGTGCTAATAAGGCACTCAAGTGTCATGACTTCTGCCTCAGAATCCCAGTGACAGCCTGAGGACAACTCAGATTCAGATGACAGAACAGCTGTTGACTTGAGAGGAAGCCCTCAACACCTCTTCTACGTTGTCCTGACATGGTAGTGTGATCCTCCCATGGTTGTCAAAGTTTGAGGATGATTCCCCTAAAGCTACTCCTACTCCACAGCCACACCAGAGGATGAGGTGGTAGAATCAATTATGGACCATTTAAACTTGGCATACAGCTCTCTCAAGGAAGTGGAGCCACCAAAAAGGGAAGGCCATGGCAGCCTCTTTAAGTCTTCAAATGCCTCTACTCATTGGTGGGGACAACATTTTCCTCAGTTGACAGGAGGAAACCCTGTAGGAACTGGTTTGGAATGTCAGAGGCTCTGGCAATCAACCTGCCTTAGAAGAACACAATACATATTTTTTCATCTGAGGGATGAAAAAATCTAGTTCCCCAACTATAGTTTCCCAGCTAGGTGACCATTAGCCATTCCCAGATATTCCTGTAAAGATGGGAGGAAATTCGTACAAATGGTCATCTTCTGTCCCTTGCAGAGTACATATTTCATGCCTTTTCATGCCAAAGCCCAGGGCAAAAAAAGAGTTTGAAAAAATGAGTGTGGTAGGTTATCTTTGTGTAAACATTTTCATTTTGACTTGAATACAGTTGTTAAATAAATACCTTGACTTTATGATATATTTATATATTAATGCAGTATGTGTCATATACTATTTAGGTCCTTACTTTCTTTTATCCTTGGTTCCCTCATATATTTTACCTGAGTCTAGCTATAGTATGCAGTGGTTCATGCTTCAAAGGGATTTAGAAAGTAGTTTCTTATTAATGCATCACAGCAGTCAATGACTTGAGGTTACGAAGACAGCAGACCTTCCATGTTGTTTCATGATGTTGCTGAAGTTTGTAATTTACAGTTCAAAACAAGACACTCAGGAACACTTGCGGTCAATCCAAGGTAACATTGCATCTCTTCCTTAGCTCAGCTAGTAATCTGAGCCACAGAAGCTCCTTCCCTCCTTCCTTAAGTCACTCATTTTCTCACTTCCCAAAAGCCATTTACTCCTCCCATCCTTTCTCCTTGCCTGGCTATGGCTGCAGCAACAAAAATGGTGAAGTTTCTCTCTTATTTCATGCATGGATTATTGGTTACTGCTGCTGGAGCAGGAACACCGGCGATCTTACGAAATGCCTCTAATATGAAGAGCGGGGAGACTTGTGATAGGAAGTTTGAATGGCTGTGGAGGTGGAAGATGGGGACTTATGGAACTGGATGATATTAAACACACCTTAGGTCAGCTGCACAGTCTTCTGCCTACTTCCAGGAAAGTGTTTAGGACTTATGTTCTAATGCTCTTTATTATACTTCCACTCACAGATCTTAGTAGTCACTCCACCCACATTTTTGTTTAGCAAAGGTTGAAACAGTGTGCTTTGCCAAATTAATATGAAGTTGCTAAACCTATGTTGGGTGCTCCTGCGCTATGCAAATATAAGGGCACAGCCAGTTGCCAAACATATCCAACTGCAAAATTCATGTTTGCAATGATAGGTGAGAAACCCAGCTTTGCTAAAATGAAAGTCAACATTTATATTTTATAGGATCTTTGCTCTAAATGAAATGCTTAAATCAACACCTCCTTATTGCAGTCTTTATTGATATAACTTTATGATGGAAATAAATAAATCCTTTTCTGAAAATAAACATTGGAATAAAAGAAAATTGTATTTCTTTAGAAAAGGGTTTTGATCCATAACCCTTTATTAAGTAGGTTTTAAAGAAAGTTAAGCCTTACTTGCAAGGGATTTGGAAGAGACAATTGAGCGAATAAAAATCCCTTATTCCCCCAATAGGGTGCAATAAGAAGCCCTGAGAATGAAGGAGGAGTCTACACTGTGGTGTTTTTTCATATCAGTATTGCCTAAGACATTTTGCTGCCTGTAGGAAGGACAATATGATACTGTTTCCCCCAACCCCTGTTCCATATTCAGAAGCCCAATTTAACTGACTGTTGACTCTTACTTCATCTCTGGTGGTAGGATAGCAGAGGGCAGTAAGCTAGCTTAGGGGGTACAGAGCAAGCTGTATGACATAAACACAGCTGTGCCCTCCCAGAGGCAACTGCTTCTTTCTGCCTAATAGTAGAGCCTGCCTTGTCTCCTGGAAGCTGAGATGAAGCTAACATAGACAGGAGCCACAAACATGGGCTCCCAGGTGTCTCACGTTATCCTGGTAGCATGGAAGCGAGGCATGTTGCAGCAGCATTCAACCTGCCAGCATGAAGAAACACTACATGGGTTCAATCAGTGGGCGCAACATGTAGAGTATTAATTTGGTGGAACTCCTACTGTTCCTACTGGATGTATCTTTAAAACCATTTACCGTATTTTTTGCTCTATAAGACTCACTTTTTCCCTCCTAAAAAGTAAGGGGAAATGTGTGTGCGTGTTATGGAGCGAATGCAGGCTGTGCAGGTATCCCAGAAGCCAGAACAGCAAGAGGGATTGCTGCTTTCACTGCGCAGCGATCCCTCTTGCTGTTCTGGCTTCTGAGATTCAGAATATTTTTTTTCTTGTTTTCCTCCTCCAAAAACTAGGTGCGTCTTGTGGTCTGGTGCATTTTATAGAGCGAAAAACACGGTATTTGTTGGACAGGTTGGATGGTTCCTGACTGTTCGCTATTTGCAGATGGGCTTCAATCACATGCAGGGAAATTCAAGTTATGCAAGTAAAGTTGATTTGGTGCTCTTGTGCAAAAAGGCCACTTCCTCCAAAAAATGGAATTTTTAAAATGGGAAAACACACTAGACCAGAGCTTTTCAAACTCTGTGTTGTGACACATTAGTGTGTCAGCTGCAGGTGTGCCATACGAACGCTTCCCATGCTCCTCCTGGGGCTGGAAAGGGGTTAGTTTAACCTCCAGTTTGCTAGTAAAACTGAATTACTATGTCACGAAATGATGCATGTCTAAAATGTGTGTCACCAACATGAAAAGTTTGGAAAGCTCTGCACTAGACAGTTTAGGATGGTTGCTTGACACAACATCATTTAAGCTCCCCTCAAATAAATCTGAAGGAATGCTCAGTGAAGAGCTGACATCACCTTGCCTCGCAACAAACTTTGGGCAAACAAATCAGGATGAATGTGCAATGAACAGGTCATCTGGAAGTGACTGGCATCTGCATATTTATTTAGTACTTAATTAAATTCTGGGCACCACAGTTCAAGAAGGACACTGACAAACTGGAACGTGTCCAGAGGAGGGCAACCAAAATGGTCAAAGGCCTGGAAACGATGCCTTATGAGGAACGGCTAAGGGAGCTGGGCATGTTTAGCCTGGAGAAGAGGAGGTTAAGGGGTGATATGATAGCCATGTTCAAATATATAAAAGGATGTCCCATAGAGGAGGGAGAAAGGTTGTTTTCTGCTGCTCCAGAGAAGCGGACACGGAGCAATGGATCCAAACTACAAGAAAGAAGATTCCACCTAAACATTAGGAAGAACTTCCTGACAGTAAGAGCTGTTCGACAGTGGAATTTGCTGCCAAGGAGTGTGGTGGAGTCTCCTTCTTTGGAGGTCTTTAAGCAGAGGCTTGACAACCATATGTCAGGAGTGCTCTGATGGTGTTTCCTGCTTGGCAGGGAGTTGGACTCGATGGCCCTTGTGGTCTCTTCCAACTCTATGATTCTATGATTCTATGATTCTATGATTCTAGCCCTTTGCTTTGGTTTACACTCCTCTGTCCATTAATGCCACACAATAGCAAAAATTGCTGCTTGCTTTCTGTGATCTGTTACTACATGTGATATTCCCCGTATGTGATAAATGGTGTTTCTATTATTGTTGAGCATCTCAGTTTTATGATTAATTGTTATTAATAAAATTATAAACTAACCTGTGACGTGCACCTTAAAGATGAAATTTTATTGTGGAATGTGATTTCAGGGTCTACAGCAGGCTTCCTCAACCTTGGCCCTCCAGATGTTTTGAGACTACAATTCCCCTCATCCCTGACCACTGGTCCTGCTAGCTAGGGATCATGGGAGTTGTAGGCCAAAAACATCTGGAGGGCCGAGGTTGAGGAAGCTTGTTCTGCAGCCTACTTTGTCAGATTCATGAAACGTTCTGTAAGGTGGTAGAGATATATTGGTACAACTGAAGGAAATAATTTGCACCTCCTTTGCACCACCATCAATGATGATGGTGATGATGACAATGATGATAAATTTGCTCCATTAGTTGGATGGCACATAAACAGAATAGCAAGATGATAGATCCCTGCTCTAAGAAGCTTAGTTTCTAAAATTGAACACAGAGGAGGTATCAGTGGGGAGTAAATGTGAAGAATGCATTTAGTTTGGTTGAATATAGACACAGTTTTAGTAGGGTATGAGGAATAAGGAATACTGCCAAATTCTTCATGGAAAATGTTAGTTTTCAGTCCTGCTATACAGAAACTTGACCTCCAGTTTCTCAAAAGATTTCCTTCCCTGTGAACGAGGCTTCTATTTTTCTCTCTCCTTCATTTTCTGTGAGCTTTCAGATCTCTTCAGAATTTTAGTGGATGTGAGCTTGCTTTATTATTGCGAGGTGGCTAAGAATGGTGTTTGTTTCCTTTCTTTAAACATTTCTCAAGCACCATAAGATCTGTGCATTCACTGATTTTGTTTCCATCTAGTTCAGTATTGTCTACACTGACTGGCAGTACCTTTCCAGGGTATCAGGCAGGGGCCTCTCTCAGCTCTATCTGGAGACAACAGGGATTGAACCTGGGACCTTCTGCACACAAACAGATGCTATACCACTGAGCTACAGTACTTCCCCAAGTTCAGGACTGGATTTCTGCTGGATCGAAGAGCAGACAGGAGGCCAGTATATGTATTTAAGAGAAAGCACAGTAAACATTAGAAGTCTGCAATCTTATTTGAGTGTGGAGACCGATTCCCACTTTTGCCACAGCATGTCCCTAGACCTTATTGACCGCAAATGCATCTGAAAATCAGCAAAAGGTTTCTACAATAGCCTCCCATGTTTAGGGATCTGTGCCCTACAAAGCTATTTTTCTTGCTCAACGGTCTCCTATTCTGGTTCACCTATAACCTGCTTTTTCCCTTGTTCTATATTTGTCACGACTTCTTTTCCAAAACACCTTCCAAATTCTGCAAAAGCACAAGTATTACATAGCCCATGAGGCATTCATAAGGAACTTGTATATGCATATGCGTAATAGACATATTTACATACATAATTTTGGCTTCGTTAAGTTATTTTGTATGTAGACATGGAGCTGTTTTTTAAAAAATTGTCTCAGAACTTGGGTTCCCTTGGCATATGGAGTTGGGATTTCTTTGGCAGGCTGTATGAATAGCCCTGCATGGAATACTGCTGGGTGGGTAATACCTTGTCTCCTTGCTGTGCAATTGTCGGAAAAAGTTGCCTCTTGTGGGAATAGTAGAGAAATACAACAGACAGTGACATTATTATTTTAAGATTATTTGTTTGTATTCTAATGATGCACAGACTGTGCACAGTTTGGGGGCTAGGCAGCCAATATAGAAATGCAGAATGAGGAAGGCTGCTTATTTAAATTGGCTCTGTTCCAATTCTGAACAAATTACTATTGTCTGTATTGAGACATTTAAATTATTTTTCTAGTGTAGCATTATATAGTGGTGGTTTTCTATACCTTTATTCTTACAAGTTATTTCTGATATATCCAGATAAGACTGAGGTTCTGTTTATTGTGACCTAAGGCAACATGCAAACATTGCCTCCATGGATGGGAGGCAGGGGTGTGGGGTGTCCGTGCCAGTCCTGCCCCCAATGTCCCTATGCGCATCTACCCACTGTGGCCCCAACTTTCCTCATGTTGAGTGGTGAAGGTCTGCGTGGGGTTTTTACTCATGTTTGCTTGAACACGATTGCAATGCCTTGTGTGATCAGGCACTTTATAGTGCAGAGGGTTCTACTCGCATTTGCCTGAATACAATATCTTGTTCAACTGTCCAACTGTTTTATGAAGGTCCCATAATGTGTTGATGATTCTGCTTGCTTTAAGTCAGGTAAAGGCCTCCTGCAAACCTTAACATCAAATTATTGAGGCAATGCACATAGGGATGTGTGCCTGTGGAGACAAATGTTCCCACATTTAAACATTGCATGTTCTGGCAAAGACCTCCTGAGAACTCAACTCAGCAGCTTTGGAATGGTGTTAAATCCAGCTCACTATATGTATGTCGAAATGTATTCCATAGCATAAAGTATTTTTAAGCAAGTTCAGTCACCAGCTACAGCTCTTCTCGAAAGAACCTAATCTGTCCACAATTATTCATGCCCATCCAGATTAGTTTACAGTAGGAGTACCATTGGCTATGTTGACTAAGGCTACTTGGAGCTGGAATCCGACAACATCTGCATTGGCTACCCTTGGATTACAGTACAGGCAACTCCTCATTTTGCACATGTTCAATGCACATGCAACTGTGCACACCATTTTGGGCACCAGAAGGGGGCAGGACAGAGTGGGGCAGGATGGTGGTGAGGTGAGCTTACACATGCTTCGTTGACCTGGAACATAACCCCTGCATAACTGTGGGGTGAGGGGTTGCCTGTAATACACTCTACATTGTCTATGAAGACTGTCCAGAAATGTCAGCTGGTTCAAAACACAGCTGCAAAATGGTTAAATGGAACAACGGAGAGGGAACTTTTATTGTCAACACTTAAATTACTTCACTGCCTACCAGTTTGTTCCCAGGCATGATAGAGTTGTACTGGTTTTTTACCTTAAAAGCTTTAATTATGTGAAGAATTACCCCCTCTGTGTTAGAGGCCTAGGTCAACTTCAGATATGAGGTGGGTGACTACCAGGGATGGAGTATTCTCAGTGGAGTTGAAAAGTTGGGTGCAGCAGAACTGCATTCAGCTGGTGGAATTCTGCTTTGTTTTTGCATGTCAGCTAAAAACTGTTTCCCCTGCCTGTTTGATAAACGTAATTTAATTAGATGTCTCTATTCTTCCTGGCATTTATGTACCACCCAAAGGGATTATAAATCTAATCCATATCAACCTCTCCATGGATTAAAACTGTTCTCTGTGTAGCTTTCCCACTAGATACTGCATAGACATCTACAAGGAAGGGGTCAATTTTGGCTCTAGTGCCTCAGATCTGCAATACCACCCCCAAAAAATATTCATCTGGTGTGAACATCATTATCCTGTAGGGACCAGACCAAAAAAAAATTGTATTCACATAGACATTTTAAATTCCATCAGTGGCCTATATTGCTGCTTGCTCTTTTATTCTGTTGTTTTATTGCATTGTATTTTTTCCACTATGTTTTACTTTTATGGTTTTGATGTGACCCATCCTAGAACTGGGAAATGAAAGATGATTTGTGAACAAATAAAGAAATACCTGTTGCTAAAAGCCTTGCTTTTGTATTATTTGTAATTTATTCTATTTGGTTTCTTGTTTTTGTTTTAGAAACTGAAAACTCTTGATTAATTGAGTACTGCTGTTTTATTGTGGGTGTGTTACTGATTTTGTGCATTCTTTGTGTTTGCTTTTATGGCAACTGAGCTGTGAACACCTTTGGAACTGCCACTGAAATGTGAGGATCAATGTTTAAAATAAATACTTCAAGCATTCCCATATTTCCAGTGTTCAGGCTGTGAGTGTCATTGCTCACATAGCCAAAACATCATGCCAGAGAGGTATCAGCAGGCTTTGGAGAACCCCAAAACTCACATAAATACTATCTTTAGCAGGTAAAACTTAAGCGGGTGCAGGGGTGAGCTCCCAAACAGTGCAGTGAAGACTTGAGTGTGCCTGTGGCCACAGAATGCTGACTGAGGTCAAAACTGGGGACAATGGGAACACAATGGAGAGGCTGGAATTCTGAACAGCGAGCACTTCATGCCACAACACTTTGTTGCAGCTCCCACTTGTAACATGGGAATAACAATACGAACTGGCATAGAGCAGCAAACTGATTTCTGCATCAGAAGCCCAGCTGTCTCTGGTTAGCTGATGGTGGGTTCTGCCCTCCCTTTTATTTTTATTTTGCTTTGATTTTGAGTGTTATATATTTTCCTTTAGAGCCTCTCTGGGAGTCTCTATATTAAGCTGTATAAGCTAATGTGAAACTGACAGAACAACCAATTTTAATGCCGCAATATATGGCGTGAATCTGGGCCAGGAAACATAGCTGCAGTAGCCACTGACTTGCATTTTGAAGGAGAGAAGAAGCCTAACTTGGCCAGCAGGACAAAATGTCCCAAGTGTTGCACTGTCTGAGTTTGCAGACTATCTCTATACAATGTTGCTGAGAAATTGAGATTAGGGGGGAACTGCATGTCTGCATACTCCAAGGATGATAGGAGAAATTCATTAAAATGGTTGTGTTTTGTAGTTGAAGATATTTACTGCAGCAATATAAATGTCAAACATGACAGTCAACTTCAGAAAGTGCCCTTGGTGATTTATTGATGCACAATTTTAAATTTCCTTTTTACAGAAATTAAAATGAAGGGCTTCCACTCTTCAGTCCACCCTTATCAGATGCTTTCCCCTTTTGCAAGATGCTGAATTGTAATTTTTAGGTACACTTGTTCTACCTAACACACATCTGAAAAGCATTTAAAAGGTACTGGAAAAAGCAACAACTCTGCTCAGTGAAGTCCCAGACAGAAATAAATACTCATAATCCATGTGGCTTTGCAACTCACACTCTTTTTGATGGTTAAAATGGCACATATTTAATTATTTCAATGTTTTCCTAACTTGCCTTTCATCATAAAGCCAAGCCCAGAAAAGGGTAATTTTTAAAAAAATGAGTTAGACCACATCAGTAGCAATCATAAAACAGGGGCTGCTAAAACATCAAACAAATCAAGTGAAACTTTAAACAAATACAAAACATTAATACAGCGTAAATCAGCAGAGCATCTGGCTCAGAGGTCACCAACCATTTGGGGGTCTGGGGGATCGTTTTTAAACTGGAGCTGCTGTCATGGGTACCCCATCCTCGCTGGAACCTGTTCTGTTGGCTTCAACAGAATGCCAGAGGGTGCCATTGTGGGTGCCAGAGGTGGAGACTAGGGAAGCCCTTTGCAGGCACTGGTGTGACTCTGAGTGCTGCATTAGTGACCCTTGCCAGTACTACCTCTGGGTTGGGAGTGTTATACAGGTGGGGAATCACAAAAGAGAGAAGGCCCTTTCCTGGGTTACCATATAGCAAATATACAGCACAACCGGACAGGCCTCTCTTCTGATGAACTCAGATCATTCTCTTATGGCAGAAGATGTATTCAAGTATTTAGGTCCCAATTTTTATAAGACTTTATATGTCAATAGCCAGGAATGGCTAGGAATGTCAGAATATGATCAGGAAGAACAAGTTCCAGATCCCCAGTCAACCATGAAGCTTGTTGGGTTATCTCAGGCCAGTTAGTCCCTCAACCTAACCCATCTCACAACCTTATTACAGGACACAGTATAAATGGGGAGAATCAGGCACACCAACTTGAGCTCAATGGAGGAAAGGTTGGATATAAACATAATAGTAAACAAACAAATAATATTTAGCATATTGAATTTGGCTCTTTAGCCAATCAGCACACAGTGCTCTTCTTTCAAAATCTGCATTATTTTATCTTAATACTTTGAACCACTCAGCAACCCAGTCACTACATTTTGTACTAGCTGCAGCTAAGAAGCCCCACAAAGAACACTAATGTTAGTTAGCAAGATGAGAAGTTACCAGGGCATCTGTCACTGTGGTATAGCTGTGAAGCAGCCAAAGATGGCAGAAGGCACTG